TTAAAACACCTAATGTTTTGTGTTCAACTACATTAACAATAGGTAGCTTGTCAATGAAGAGCTCAAGCGGTGGCTTGTGTACAGCTAATGTTTGTAGCTTTTGCCTAGTTGTTATCACCATAGATTTAGTTTTATTAATATTAATTTGCATGCGATTATCATTGCTCCATAGTACGCCGACGACTGCGCCATCTGGTGCTCCGATTCCAACCTGGAGCTAGCCAGAAATCAGCTGCAGAGGGCAACAAACAACGTTACAAGGTGGATGGAGAAGTGGGGATTTCGACAAATAAGTCTAGCCTCATATAATTAATGCACCACTTTTGTTTTTGTTTTTAAAGTGTCCTTGTATTTCCTTTTTAACTATACCATAGGTTTATCTTTTCCTGTTTGTCACAGTTTGCAGCATGTTCTATGAAATGTTGTCTGACTTGTGTGCATGATCTCTACTAATGCAGGGCCACAGAAGATTGATGTCACCTACGAAGATCTGCCAATTCCCAAGTCCCCATTCAATGTGCCAGCTATACCAGGGAGTGATGCCAGCAAGGTCAAAGCTTATGGGCCAGGTAATTTTGACTAAAATACAGTTTGTTTTTAATTGAGAAACTTGTAAACTGAGAAAACAAAATATTTAAACTATCATGGATGCCTGCAAGTAATGTAAAAGATAAAGGACGTTTCCAAGCCTGCATTTGCATGTTGGACATCTGTAATGGGACTTATGTTTCTTTTTTTTTAAATTTAAATTGTAAATTGTCTAGCCTTCCTGTTTCATTTGATAAGTCTGCTATGTTGGTTTGCCAGTTTTAACTGTATTTGAATCAAACCATAAAATCTGCTGGTCATTCAGTGGTGAATATGTTTTACTGAACGTGGTAAATAATCAGAGATTCAAATTACAGTTAACTGTGCAAAAGCATTGTAAACAAAATGAAAACTGAAAAGTATAGTTTCCTGTTTCTTTCATCATTGTATCATAAATATTAATAATTTGCCAGTTTGTCTGTCACCCTAAGTTTAACAGTTTGGCTTGTCGAGAATCATCTTCATTACAGTCTCTGTGTGTCTGTATATGTGTGTGCATCTGTGTGTGCCTGTGGTTGTGTGTGTGTGTGTATTTGTGTGTGAATGTGCATCTGTGTCTGTGTGTTCTACGTCTGTCTGAGTATGTGTGTCGGCAGGTTTGTGTGTCTGGTGTGTGTGTGGTTGTGTGTTTATGTCTGTGTGTGTTTGAGCGTGTGTGTCTGTGTGTGTTTCTACATCTGTCTGAGTATGTGTGTCGGCCGGTTTGTGTGTCTGTCTGTTTGTGTGAGTGTGTATGTGTGTTTATGTCTGTGAGTTTTTGTGTCTCCACGCATATGTGTGTGTGTCTGCGTGTTTCTGTGAGTGTCTCTGTGTGTTATCCTTATGAATGAATGTGTGTGGAGTAGGTGTGTATGCATGCATGTATGTATGTATATATGTAGGTGTGTATGTGTGAATGTATGTGGGTATATGCGTGTTTAAGTGTGTAGGTGCATGTATGTGTGTGTGCGTACGGTAGAATGTGCATGCATGTTGCCACCCATGCTTTTGTGTTGTTTTTTTTGACATTCACAATATTCATATCTTTATTTTAATATAACATGCTTTATTAATAAAGTCAAATGCTGTGTGAAAGACGGGTGTTTAGACGGGCCGAATGTGAGATGGATATGCATGCCCAATTTTTCATCCTTTGAAAATAAAGTTTGTTCATTCATTTGTTTGTTCGCTCTTATTTTTTCACTCCTCTTGAATTCATCACATTTTATGTTCATCATTTTCCTCGGGCATTTTTTTTTTAAACTTCAGTGATGACATAACCATACAAACTATACTATTTTCAGAATTCCTCATTTGAACATTGTTTTACCTTCTGTTCCCCTGATAGCTTTGGCAAAGAAATAAACTTAACATCTTTCTCTTTTAGCAGCAGATCAAGTGGTTTGGCCATCTTTTTAGAATGCAGCAAGATCAAATACAATCACAGGCATCACATCTCCGAAGATCAGCTGCAAGAGCAAAAGGATGGCCATGAAAATATGAATCGCCAACATTAAAGACACTCTATGCTTTTACGGCATGACAATATCCAGTTGCAGCCAGCATGCACTGGATCACAAATTATTCCTCCCCATGAAACTCAACAGCCGAAGTGGTTTATGATGATGATATGGTTTATGATGATGATATGGTTTATGATGAGGATAATGCTGATCTTTCTCTGTTGACAGGCCTGGAAGGTGGTCTTACTGACCAGCCTGCTGTGTTCACAGTGGACATGAAAGGAGCTGGGAAGGGAGGTCTGGGACTGGGCATTGAGGGTCCAGTCGAGACTCCCATGCAATGCCAGGACAACCATGATGGCACCTGCCAGGTGGTATACCAACCCTCCAAGGCTGGACCCTATGATATTGCTGTCAAGTTCAATGACAAGCATATTCCTGGTGAGTTTCAAAGCATGGTATGAACAGCGCAGTGCTGTTCTACAAGAACTCACCACTTCATGGTAAAATGATGCATGAAAAGCTAGATGTTGTCAGGGTCTTTTGAGAGCAAGTGAACAGTGCCGAGGCCAAATTATTATATTTCTGTAGATTTTGAAATGTTTGTGTGTGTGAGCGTGTATGTGTGTGTGTGTGTGTGTGTGTGTGCGTGCGTGCGTGCGTGCGTGTGTGCGTGCGTGCGTGTGTGTGTGTCTGTGTGTCTGTGTGTCTGTGTGTCTGTCTGTCTGTGTGTCTGTCTGTCTGTCTGTCTGTGTGTCTGTGTGTCTGTCTGTCTGTGTGTCTGTCTGTCTGTCTGTCTGTCTGTCTGTCTGTCTGTCTGTCTGTCTGTCTGTCTGTCTGTCTGTCTGTCTGTCTGTCTGTCTGTCTGTCTGTCTGTCTGTCTGTCTGTCTGTCTGTCTGTCTGTCTGTCTGTCTGTCTGTCTGTCTGTGGGGGGTGGGTGGGTGGGTGGGGGGGGGTGGGTGTGTGTGTGTGTGTACAACACACACACACACACACACACACACACACACACACACACACACACAAATATATAAATATAAACAAAGGGAGTAATCAATAAACAGGAACATTCCCCATGGCCTAAAAAGTGTGGGTATTAGGTGACTCGTGCCAACCTGGTATTCTCATGAAATGTCACATCATTTTGACTTTAAAAACACCATTTGCTTTGAAGGACTTCTTCCCCCCCCCCCCCCCCCCTCCCAACTCAGTGCTATTTTTTTTTTTTTAGTTAAAATATTTTTACCATGACCTCATAAACATTTGTGCAGGTGTGAACACAGCCAGTAGCACTAACTATGCATCTCGTAGAAACAGGTAGACAGGTCAGAAAAGTGACATTTATGGGGAATTGGCCCGAGCTGGAAGTATCAGTTTTTTGGCTTCTCTGAGAAACAGGGTTAAGGCGGATTACTTTGTTTAATCTAGATTATTATGGCCTGGAGAGAATGATGTGAGTGGGTGTGACTAGAAAGTCTGACCGGTGCATTGCACTCAGGGGAAAGGCAAGACTGACATATAATCAGACTACAACCAGTACAATTAGCAATGAAACTCTGCACTGGCTGCTGAAGATGGGGACATAGCACGTATGGTAATGCCTTGAGTGCTGTGATGTCACTTGTTGACTCAACTCAACTCATGTTTGTTAAAGTAAATACATTAAACCACTGTGTCGACACAGCTCATCATTTTGATGTGTGGGTTTGTTGGTTGCTTGGTTGTGGGATGGTTTTTTGATTGATTGGGAAGTTAAATGGGTTAAATCTTCAGGAAGAGTGTGTGTTAAATATTTAAGTTTGATGCTTTGGTTTTCAAATATCAGTCATAAAAATAAGGTGTGACATTCATCACAGTGAGGCTGGTGTATTTTTCTTTACTCAGCCGACTACCAAAGCGCTGTCACCACTGGGGGCTATGTTGTAGAGCTTATGTCCCTTCTTTACATTAAATCAAGTCAATAACCAACATAATAGCCATAAGGACATTCCCATTTGGGTTCTGTCCCCATCTTCAGCAGCCAGCGCAGTTAAAATTCTGACTCTTCCCCAGTGTCCAAATAAACATTCAAGGTTTCAGTCATACTGTAAGTCACTGAATTCATTGCCTCTTTTGCTGCAGCTTCACTGGCAAATAATTGTTTTATTAAATGATTTTGTTTCATGTTATCTCAAGAATATGATCTATGATAGCCAAGGCTGTTATTTGGGATCAGATCTCTCAGGCAAGGAAGAAGATTTAGGATTGTAGAAGATGTAGAAATTTGGATTTTAGAAGGTGTAACATTTCAAAATCTGGTTGTTGATTCATCAGTGTTCTTATCTGTTGTTGATTATACACCACCTGTTTTCTTGTCTGATGTTGATTGTAAAACACATGTGTTCTTGTCTGTTCTTGATTCTGAAACATCTGTGTTCTTGTCTGTTGTTGATTCTGAAACATCTATGTTCTTGTTTGTTGTTGATTATAAAACACATGTGTCCTTGTTTGTTGTTGATTACAACCACCTTTTTTCTTGTCTGATGTTGATTGTTAAAACACTGTGTTCTTGTCTGTTGTTGATTCTGAAACATCTGTGTTCTTGTCTGTGGTTGATCACAGGCAGCCCATTCCGTGTGGACATCAAGAACCCTGTGAACCCAGCCAAGGTCAAGTGTTACGGCCCTGGCCTTGACAGTGCCAATGTCAAGGCAGGACTCCCAGCCGTGTTCACAGTAGATGCTTCTGAGTCTGGGCCAGCACCTCTGGAGGTCACGTACACTGACAGAACAGGTAAACCTCCAGGTGTCAGTATGTTTTTTTTAACTTGAATAAATGTAGACAGTTACTGATTACTGTTTTTCACTGATAGTATTTGGGGGGGGGGGGGGGGGGGGGGCGGGTATTCATTTTCTGCTTTGTCCTGCTAGGTGTCACAGGTTAACAAATAATCAGCATCCGAGCGAGGACAAACTAAGTTGTCTGGTATACTGTAATGTTGTTGAGTCTCAAGGAATCAGTGACTTCTTCTTTTAGCTAGAAAAAAAGGTACTGTATTAGTGTTGATAACATTATTTTTTTTTAAGCTAGTTCTTGGACTCCACTGATTTTGACAAATCCTAATCCTCAGGTATTAAACGTCCAGCAGACCTTGTGCCCATCGCTGACAGAGTTTACCAAGCTACCTATGTGCCGACAGTAGAGGGGCCATGCCAGGTGGAAGTTAAACATGCAAACCAGAATGTACCTGGCAGGTAGGCTTGCATTTTTATGTTACTATATTCAAACTTTCATTTAGTTATTACATTCATGAAGCAATTGGTTAAGAGTTGTTACTTTTTCTTTATTATTTCTATGTCCTCAAGCCTCCAGTCATCTGTCTGGTTGGCCTTCTCTTTCTAGTTGGTGACACCAAGTGTTTGCAGCAGGTCTGTCTAGACATCTATCTCCATCGTCTTCTTGGTTTTTGGAACAGGACTAGAGTCCAGAAGTAGACAAACAACCAGAACTTTCCACCGGAGTTTAAAGCCGGTGAACACAAAGAAGAAGAAGATTTACTTTTAATACTGGAAATATGTTGATGGATGTTTTCATTGTAGCGTATGTTGTTTTTTTTTTTTTTTTTTTTCAGTACAGTTAAAGAGCATATTGTTTTGTTTATTTCTTTGAGACAATAGATTAGGTCCTAAAACCACTGTCGAGCAGATAATTACCCCTTAAACCCTGATGACCTAGAAAATAAAAGGGGAGAATGTTGGGGTGAAACTGACTCGCTTGGGATTTCCTCCTTAGCTCAAAATATTAGCAGGATGTCCGATTTTCTGCTCAAGATAAACTGGTCTCTCCTATATGTATGTATATGTGTGTGTCTGTGTGTGTATGTGTATATATATATGGAACAAATAATTACACAGCAGCTGTCACATCAGAAAAGTGAAGTCTTATATCTGACCAAGTTAACAGAGAACAGGTAGTATTGACTACTGTTATACAGTAGCTCAGTTATATCTGACCAAGTTAACAGAGAGCAGATAGTAGTGACTACTGTTATACAGTAGCTAAGTCATATCTGACCAAGTTAACAAAGAACAGGTAGTACTAACTACTGCTAAACTGTAGCTCAGTCATATCTGACCAAGTTAACAGAGAACAGGTAGTACTAACTACTGCTAAACTGTAGCTCAGTCATATCTGACCAAGTTAACAGAGAACAGGTAGTAGTGACTACTGTTATACAGTAGCTCAGTCATATCTGACCAAAGTTAATTACAAGAACAGGTAGTGCTAACTACTGCTAAACTGATCTGACCTACCTGCTATACTGAAGTTCAGGTCATATGTGAAGAGACCCAAGATCTGCTAAACTCCTAAATTGCTGTTTCACGCGTACAGAAAATATTATATTGCTGTATTTCCAGTCCGTTCCGCGTGAATGCTGGACCAGGAGTTGATCCCACCAAGGTCAGGGTCACAGGACCTGGTGTATCTGGCACTACACCTGCCAGTTTGCCAGCTCCATTTAATGTGGATACTCGACAAGCTGGCAAAGCCAATCTTGAGGTCTTTGTGAAGGTATGCAAATTTTTTTTTAAATGGGATAGTACATGTTATAATTATTACCATTTTCAGTCCTAAAATTAGCAAGAAGCACAGTTGTTCTTTTGAGTACTGTTCTATAGACTCCACACAATAATCATAAATGAGCATAACAGATTTTTCTAATTTTTTTTTTTTTTTCAAGAATGAAAAGGCGATCACAAACTGATGTTGTCACCCTGCCTCACTATATTGTGCCCATATAATTACATTTACCTGTTTATAAAATTAAAGAAAAGAAAGTATCACTACCACAGCTGGAGTCTACAAACAAGAGTCTCCTTACAAACAGTAATTCTTGGATGATGGAACTATCTGTGCAGTTTACATATGGAGGAAAGTGCATCGGATAACTATTATCAGAAGCAAAAAAACTTTGTTACAACTACCAGACAGCAATCTTGTTTTCATCAGATATCAGAGGATAGATAAGGATGCTGGCTCTCCGGACCAAACACTAGAAGAAGTTCAGTGAAGGTGGCTGTTTACAAACCTAAACTGTTTGTTAAGTTTTTCCCCTTCAAGGAACTCAGGGCTGCAGTGGTTAAGACTCTCAGGCAGGAAAGCACACCAGCTGTTTCCCTCTTGTGAGTCTCTGGGTCTAGCCTTACAAGGAAAAAAGGGTCACTCAGGTGGTAAGTCCTCTGACCTGGTAAACTTTTCTACAGTCAAGATCGTTGTGTGTGACTGAAAAGAGACATCCTTGAATAGGTGACCCCCCCTTAACCGAGACCTTGTGGTCCTGGGACAAAACACAATGGATCTAGAGGAGCCAACCTCGATTTTAAAAAACCAAGCCTAAAGTGGATCTACATGCTGAGAGGCTGAATTTCTGTGGGACAGGCAGTTGTGAACGTGGACATCTGGTCAGCTGGAAAGGGCGGCGCCAGGCGTGTGGACTCCATAGGGACATCAGTTGCCTCTTCCCTAGCAGGCAGGCTCTACTTGGGTGACCGGCTACTTCCTGCATCATAAAAAAAATTTTTTATATGGATTTTTCATTTCATAAGAATTGTTGCCCGAGCTGCGGAGCACGTGCTCTGCGCTTGACGTCATCTTCAGTGAGCAGCAAAGAGAAAGTGAAGAGGAGAAAATGAGGAAATGGTGAGAAAAGAAAGCAAAGAAATAGAAGGGCAGGAGATTTAGATGAAAAACAGAACAGCTTGTGTTTAACTAGAGCTCACTACGCTCAGAGCAAAAGCAAGACGGTCATATAACCAGATTGTGACCGGTTACCATCAGTACTGGAACTCTGCGCTGGCTGCTGAAGATAAGGATGGAGCACACATGGAAATGCCCTGAGTGCTGTGATGTCAGTTCTTGACTCAGCTCATCTCAACACAACTCACCTCAGGGAATACAGTCTGTATGATTTACATCTCAAGGATGAGAATCAAATAGATACAAATAGCTGGACACCCGGTTCAACCCTATAGCCATATAGCACAGTTATATTGGGGCACCAAGAAACAGTATCAAAAGGTAAATGCAAAGGTAAAGGTGAAAGGATGGACTTCATTGCACCAGGTTATATCCTATATGGTTCAATCTTTCTCTCTGCAGAACAGCTTGGTTGCCTGCCGAGAGCATCACACAGAGCACGATCTCTATAATAGCTCTGGTGACAGTCCCCAGGGATGACCGTAAAAACTGCACTCTTGAACTGAACAGCAACGTCGGTGAAATGAACACACGACCTTCAGAGTGTAAGTCAAACTGCTTGACCACTTTGCTACAGAGACTCTCCAAAACAGCTAGGAAGTAACACATAGTCCAGATTTCTCCAGGTCATGCCGGTGTGTTGGGAAATGAGCAGGCAGACTGGCTGGCTCTTGCACTACTTGGTGGGGAATTGATGTATGACAAGTTAGATATTGTGAGGGCCCTTTGGGAGCCGGTGAGCAGTGCGGAGGCGCAGATAGATCATTACGATCTAAGGAGAATGGCGTTCTGAGAAGTTACCAGGGGATCTGACCGATGGTCCACACTCACAGGAAGGAAGAGACAGATATACAATCAGCGGTTACTGGTACCATCAGAATTGGAACTCTTTGCTTGCTGCTGGAGATAGTTACTGAGCACTTAGATGTGTGTCCTGAGTGCTGCAATGTAAATTCTCAATTCATCCTTCAACATTCAACATGATTTGTTAAGTGGCAGTGGATCTGTTTTTCCCCAAGATGGAACCCTGGAACCCATACAGTGGGTCCAGAATTTCATAACGATTGTGTTTGTGTTTAGACTTGAGTTCAGCTGTAGTTGATGTTCAGAACAATGTTTCCCCGCGTGAATTTAAATACTGTGGATACAAAAAGGAATGCAGAATAAATGTTAGTAAATTCAAAGTTTTCCTGGTAAGTACATGACTACAGTGAACCTCTGGCAACTAGACTGAAACAATGCATCGATAGAAACCATTCGCATTTCAGTGGAATTTATTTCGTTTTTGTGTGTGCTTTATTATGTGTTGATGCAACTCTGTAGTAACGCACCTGACAAGATACAGCGAAATATGCCTGGCAATAAGTTGTGCAAATTATTGTTTGTGTCAGCATTATTTTAAACAGCATTAAAAGTCAATGGTTAAGCACCAGCAAGGAATTTAAAATTAATATTTTTAGAGCATGCATCTTCCTTGTAGCAACATACAGATGTGAGTCATGGGCTTTCTTCCAGTCCTTAGGAAAGAAAATAGAAACTTCCGAGATGAAATGCTTTAGAAAGATTCTCAGAACACCATTGACAAAGAAGAAAAGAACTACTGAAATTTTAAAAGATCTGAACATCATTAAGATTGGCTAATAAACAGCATCTTGTCTCAGAAACAAAGCACCACGGCAGATTGTTTAAAAAAAATAGCAGAAGGCATGTTACCAGGAAGGAGGGTTAGGGGTCGACCAACATGAAGATGGGCACTGAATATAAGTGACTCCTTGAATATGAAAGTATATGAGGTGGTAGAGCTAGCGAGGAACTAAGTTTCTTTCAAACAGACTGTGATGAGATCGACGCTCTACAAAGGACCTGCTACATGATGATGTCCTCATTATTTAAAATATACAATTTATCTCTGATTGCTAAATAATTATGGCTGTGCTATTTTTTCCAGCGTCCAGATGACACATTCATCCGCCCATTCATCCAAGATCACAGAGACGGGACATATGATGTGGTGTACACACCGGAGGATCAGGGCCTGTACGATATCACCGTCCAATATGGAGGCCAGAATGCACCAGGATCACCTTTTCATGTCAAGGCTACACCTACAGGAGATGCTAGCAAATGTAGAATCACAGGTTTGTAGCTTTTTATATTTTTTTTTTGTAGACGTCTTTGTGTGTATGTTTGTCTGGAGTGATAATTATACCATTTGGTCAAGAATTAGAAACAGTTCCTTCAAAGTCAGGATGCTTCTGCCTGGTAGGGAAGGCGCCAAAGCCAACAGTTGTCACACAAAAAACAGTTTGTCGTTGATGCAAGAAGTCAGACATGATAAGTTGGCTATATACACTTAGAATTATTAAATAAGGTATTTCACCAGCTCACACATAAAGCGGCTAATGGCCATATTGAATACCATGACACAACCACTGCACAAATGAAAGGCATTCCACATGAAAAACACAGCTCACAGGGCTGCATCAAGCACTAAACTCAGAAGCTCAGGCAGCGAGACCGTAGACTACCGTCCATAGGAGGAAACTGCATTCACAAAACTCCGTTGGAAGCAAAAAATAACTTTGAAGCTTAACATTCTGCCATACCTAATCCTCCATTTTAGACTGGAAGCTCTTGATAATGAGTATGATGACCTGTAGCTCGTTTTGTCTGTAGATGGCGATGACCGAACCATCCCAGTTGGCAAAGAGACCATCATTACAGTGGATGCTGCCCAGGCTGGTGTTGGAAAAGTCACCTGTCGGATCCGATCCCCAAGTGGCAGTGACATTGACATTGACATCATTGACCAGGGAGATGGCACATTCTCCATCTCCTTCACCCCACAGTTCCCAGGACCTTACACGATTGAAATCAAGTTTGGTGGTGAGCTGGTCCCCAATGGAAGTTACACCGTACAGGTAAACTGAAGTTATTGTAATGCAGGTTTTGTTTGTGTTGCTTGAATGGAGTTTGACCAGTTTTTTACTCTAAGTATTCATGCTCTTGAAAAAAATATTAATTAGATTAAGATGTTCACATTATTATGCAAATATTGTTAAAATTTTTCAAAAGTAAATAAGACTGATTTTATTTATTAAGAAATAGGGAAGTTAATGTAAATATTTTTACATTTCAGAACTATCGGAAATTACTAAGTGAAGACACATAAAGATACAATTACAAAAGACACAGGGGTGTTGCAGTGATAGGCCTTCATAAGCAAAAATTACACACAAATCACAGCAAAACAAATCAAAGACATGATAATAAAGTAACCACTTATGGACATAAAAATATTATTTAACAAGGAGCAATGAAAAAAATGACATTTTTTGTACTCACTTCAGTGACTCTAAATATTTATTTCACTTTATTCTACTGGCCTGTTTTTTTTTTTTTTTTTTTTTTTTTAAATCTTAGTTACATTTTATTTTGTAGTTATTATGTAGTTATTTTATTATCATTTCTATTTTTTATTTTGTTTGTTATGTTTTTTCTGATAAAGGTTTGTCCCTGAAAATCTGATATTTTTTTATGTAATTGTAATTTTTTAAAGCTAACCTAACTTTGTTTTCCTGATGTTTGCATTTCAGCAGTAGTAGTAATTTAAATAATGTTATCCTGCTCAACCCAATTAGGTTATATTTTCCCCCACATCTCACTATTGGATATTCCACTGTTAAAATCATTTCGTGTGCATACATTATGGTAAAGTGTTTAAAACTATTTGTCACTAGTTAATCTTTGTTGACCCCACATGAAGAGCCAGTTAATAATGCATTTGGATAAACTTGTGTGCTGTTAAGAGTGAAGTGGAGTGGTATGTGCAGGCTGACATCAAAATTTCTGACACCTTCTTGACCTGAGGAGTTCCCGATTTATCAAAATGCTGGAATTTTAATGGTTATATACTTAACATAAAATGACTACCTCTACTATCATTTAAATAAAGAAAAACAGTAAATGAAAAGCAAATAAACATTTTTGTTCAGCTGAATAAAAAAGTTCCTCAGAATTTCATTTTAAGAATGTGTCTAATTTAATTTTTTTTTTTTTGTTTTTTTTTTTTTTGTTAAACTAAATTTCCTCAGAATTTTATTCATTCAACTAAATTAATTTAAATTGTGAATCAAAATTTTAATTTAAAAAAAAAAAAAAAATTGTCCCTCAGATGGGCTGTTGGGATGATCATCTTTATGACTGACAGTAACAGCATCTTCAAAATGACAACCTCCAGAAAACAGTGTCACACCAACACCGTAAATTTGAAAATGCACTCCAAATTCCATGCTGGAAATCTGAAGGAAATGTATTATCAATGGCCAGGTGTTTTAATGTCAGCCTGTACTAAGAGTCAAAGCTAGGTTTGTGGTGGTCTTTTCAGCCAAGGTCATGCTAGAACTACAAGTCTGATTGATCTTTCATTGACAAGACTTGCACAAATTACAACTCTGTTTAAGTCTTTCATTGACAAGACTTGCACAAATTACAACTCTGTTTAAGTCTTTCATTGACAAGACTTGCACAAATTACAACTCTGTTTAGTCTTTCATTGACAAGACTTGCACAAATTACAACTCTGTTTAGTCTTTCATTGACAAGACTTGCACAAATTACAACTGTTTAGTCTTTCATTGACAAGACTTGCACAAATTACAACTGTTTAGTCTTTCATTGACAAGACTTGCACAAATTACAACTGTTTAGTCTTTCATTGACAAGACTCACACAAAATACAATTGTTTAGCTTTTATTGACAAGACTTTCACTCAAAAAAATGCTTTATTTTTTATTTTTTTATTGACAAAACTTAGAGACATAATACAACTGTTTGATCTTTTATTGACAAGTCTTTCACAAAATACAACTCTGTGTGATTTTTTAATTGAAAAAACTTACACAAAATACAACTGTTTGATTTTTTGACTTGTACAAAATACAACTGTTTGATCTTTTATTGACTTGTAAAAAATATAACTGTTTAATATGTTATTGATCAGACATACACAAAATAAAACTCTTGTGTGATTTTTTTTATTGACAAGTCATACAAAATAAGCTCTGTTTGATCTTTTATTGACAAGGCATGCACAAAATACAACGCCAATCTTGTGTTGACAAGTCTTGCTCAAAATACAACTCTGTTTTATCTGTTATCAACAAGGTTTACATAAAATAAGCTCTTTTTGATCTTTTACTGACAAGGCTAGCACAAAATACAACTCTGTTTTATCTGTTATCAACAAGGTTTACATAAAATAAGCTCTTTTTGATCTTTTACTGACAAGGCTAGCACAAAATACAACTCTGTTTTATCTGTTATCAACAAGGTTTACATAAAATAAGCTCTTTTTGATCTTTTACTGACAAGGCTAGCACAAAATACAACTCTGTTTTATCTGTTATCAACAAGGTTTACATAAAATAAGCTCTTTTTGATCTTTTACTGACAAGACTAGCACAAAATACAACTCTGTTTGACCTTTCATTGACAAGGCTTGCCCCGTGGATTGTTTCTGATCATGTGACTTGTCCTGGTGCTGGGTGCTGTGAGCCAGGTTGTTCTAATAACCACATGTGTTGCTTTTACCTTTTATCACCATCATCAAGTGCACTGAAGCGTGGCTGTATTAAACCTCTCAAACTGCTTCTTTAAACCGAAGACTTCTTCCAGTCAATCTCATGATTTTGTCTACATGCACGCACACACACACACAAACAAACATGAACACACACACACAAACACGAACACACACACACAAACACACATATAACATTATCATCCTCATCCATGCTTTCACTCTCCTTTTTCGAGCATATCTTTTTATTGGGAACTATTTTTCTTTACATGACTAAAGTATCTTAACTGCTTTTAGTCCCTCTGGCTTTCATAAAATAATGAGTTAACCTACTTTTAAAATTTTTCAACATTTCATGTTTTCAGTGTATGTTTTTTCTGGTGCCCTCTGTGACTTATTCTTTTATCCCCCAAAATCGGGCCATAAACCCACATAGCGGCCCGGGGGGAAAAGGGGGGGTGATTGAATTTGAACCTAGTGATTGTGAGCCCAAGGAAGAGAGATTAATCCCTCCTCCATCTCTACAACCCCGCCCACCTAAACACAAATGAATGACACAGTAGAAAGATGTAAGCAAATGCTTTGAAGGGGGAGCACTCTGAAGTTTGTTATCTTTCCTTCCAACCCTTCAACACTGACATTTCCCTTCTGTCACTGCATGTCTTGCATGTAGTTGATGAGTTGTTCCCCTTGTGTTCTCACTCAGGCCGTCCTTGAAGAAGAGTACCAGACCTACCATACGACCAAGGTGAGTGCAGGCAGACCCCGGCATGGAGCCAGTTTCTGGTTAATTACTGATTTCACATTAGTTACAAAATAGGATTAGTTCATTTTAAAAACCATACTGGGGTAAAAGGTAGAGCACAAGATGTAGACAATAATACAACTGGGAGGACAATATCTAGAGACGGACAAACAGAAGTCTGTGAGAATGTAGAACCAAGACAAGAGACAGAGCATGCTGGAGATCCATTGCAGCCAATGTTCATTGTGGAGAGGGCATCCAACTGATGACGAACACTTTCAGATTAAATATGTGGATAGTAAGGGACTGATATGCACCTCTGCTACCCCAGGGTGGAGACACACATGACTGAAACATATTTTTAAAGAAGTTTCCCCTAAAGATAAAATCGAGGAGAATAATCAGTGTTTGCACACTAAGGAAACAATAAATCCACCACGTTAATGATACAATGTTAGTGAGATTATCTTATGATTCATAGTAAAATTTCTATCATAATCTCAACCCAGATCAAAGCAATATGTGAAACAATACAAATACCAATTTGGTCATGAAAATAATTACATGATATATAAATTTAAAATAAAAAATTTAAATTTGTCTAAGTGTATGTATATATATATATATATATATATATATATATATATATATATATATATATATATATATATATATATTATATATATATATATATATGATATATATATAAATATATATATATATATATATATATATATATATATATATATATATATATATATATATATATATATATATATATATATATATATATATATATACACACACACACACACACTGTAAGAACTATAAATTATAATCCTGGGGGCTGAACAGGATATTTAAAACAAATAATTACTACTATGTATCTAAATGATCTACCACTTTGTTGTGAACACATATGTCAAAGTAATGCATGGGTAAGGGAGTCACACAATATTTCTCCACCTCTTCATGATGGACATACACTCACAAGGGATGCATGTTTTATTGAGAAACTGAGTGAAACATGTAGCCAACTCAGGCCCAGCTACACACTTGTGAGTGACGAAGTCTGGTCAGGACACTGTGATTGGATGTTCATTCAAGCGTGTTAGCCTTTGAGACATGTAACTTTAAGTGACAGGGATGTCAGGTAATGTGACATTGTAATGTCTCAATTGTCCTACCGGCGACCATGCGTGCTCTATATTACAAGATTTAAGCGGTTTCAAGGACCTTATAACATCTACGATTGGCTCTTACCCTAACCCCCCTACCCCACACACTGAGCCCAGGTCTGACAAGAGAGTGCATTCTACACCCCTCTAACGTAGACCAGCCAGACCAATCATCAATGACAGGTCAGCTAGTGTGTAGCTGGGTCTGAGTTTGTTACTAGTTCCAGCTGAGCTTGTATACAATTTCAAAATGAAAACAGGGCAAGAGAACACATAGAAGACTGAGATCCAGTTGAGCTGCTCTACTACTTTAGAAGGAAATCTTGCAAGTTGAATACTACTTTAGAAGGAAATCTTGGAAGTTGAATACTACTTTAGAATGAAATCGTGGAAGTTGAATACTACTTTAGAATGAAATCATGGAAGTTGAATATTTATGAAACAAGAATTTATTGTTGGTTTTTATTCAAGATTCTAGCTTAGCTGCAGATGAGTTTCCCCACAGTTGCTCCATTCCTGTGCAAGTAGAAATCACCAAAATGTCCCTCACTGCCCCGTTTGAAAACCAGTGAAAAAAACATGTTAGTCCCAGCAAAATCTTGAAGCTCACACCCGCAAAGTAAATGCATAAGGCAGCCATTAGATGTGCCAATACTAACAGTCCCATACAAGAATTTCAGCTCACTTGTTACAAGCAGTCAGTTACCAAAGCCTGCATTTACACACAATTTTGCATAAATAAACACCAACTGAATGTGATTTTCCTAATACAGGTCTGTCTTTAAATAGACTTTACTTCTAGTGCATTTCAGTGGAGTTATTCTATGTAGACAGTTATCATGTCCAAGAGCCATAGTTAAGCATTTTTCTGTAACTGTTTACATTTAATGATGGTAACTGCCTACATTTAATGATGGTGCTCTACTGGACACATCCTTAGAAGAAACAAGCAGAGAACAACCAAACAGCCACTAAAATTGAAAATAAAGTGATTGAAGAAACAAGGACATCAAAAGGAAACCTTAAAATGAATGTTGGTGACAGAGACCAAAGGTGCTGGACTGGATTCCATCGATGATAACAAAGGGATTGCGCAGGATAAAATGGACTAGAGAAATAGACTGTAAGACCTTTATGACATATAACAGCAAAACAGGACAATGGCTGTGATGTATATTTAATGAACAATTTCTGTGCAAGAGATCAGATCACTAGTTGGTCGTTCATGAGACCCACACTGAAATCATCAGTAGTCGGATAATAAGGTAATTATGGTTTCAGCTTTATAGCAAACAAAATCAATACATGATGCCCCTAGTTGTACCTTGTAAACAAACTGACACCGGCTAAAGTTTTGGCAAAGCCAATAGTATATATACATGCACATTAACTGCATAAAGCAGCCACCATAAATACCAACACAAACAGTCCAGCCCTAGAACATCTTCTGCAAGGTTGTGGCAATTTTTAGGAGCCTGTTGTATGCCAGTGCCTAGACTCTTGCCTGTTGGGCCAAAGGTCGAAAGTTCACATCCGCAACCAGGTGGTTTTTGCAAACATTGACCTTGGCTTCCAGGTCAACCAAGCTCCAAATGTTTACCAGGTGATGTCCTGGGAAGTAAAGGCAGTCGGCAGGATGTTGACTGCCTCATCCATTGACTGCCTTGTCTATAAAAATTGTAGGTCCGGTGCAGCAAGGCACAACAATAGTCCTTGTTTTTTTTATTTTGTTTTTCTAAATGTAAATTTTACAATTCTTTCCTTGTTTCCAACTTACTAAACAAACTTTAACTGATACATTTATCAGTTTTTAAAATCCTTGCCTATTTGGTTGCAGGTGGGTGAAGAACTGTTGACAGCTAACCGTATTGACACACTGCGTTCAGCACCAGTGTCTGGCTTATTTCAGCCTGTGGACTTCACATTGCCAGTTGGCCCTATCTTCAACTATGTCTCAGGTAGAAAGACTTGTTTTTTCATGGTCATGTGATCAGACATAGTTTCAGATAGTTTATCATTATTAGTAAAAGAATTGATATTATTCTTACTTGTTTTCGCCATGCTCTTCTGTGCTTCAGCTTATTAAACAAATCATCATGCTGTCCTATTGTGACAAGTGCCACGCCGAGGCACACAGTGACAATCTGCTACTGTCAGCTGGTGAGGCTGGTGTCCATTGGGATACATGTCCCATATCACATCAGCAAAATATAAAATGCTTGACAGTC